TTATTTAAGTACTTTTACTACTTCTAGAGGAGAAAATAGCAGTTTGTTTCTGTTCTTTGGTTTCCGAGACACCAAAGGTCCAGCGTCTCTGTCTCACCCGCATGGTGACAGACCTGCTGCAGGATGGAGAAGCTCACGCTTATCCAGCATAGCTGGCTTCAGTATATCATCACACCATGAAATATCATGTGTTCATTTTCATCGCTCTTCCTCACCCATTTTACATGCCTGGTTAAACTGGCATTTCTATCAATGAACGATGTTAAGCCCTTATACCCCTGACCTTTGACAATGTGGAGTTTGATAAGTGATAATAGGGGCCGTTGTAAAGGGGGGGGGGGTTAGAACAAATATAAATTTGGATCATAATTGGATTGGTCTTGGGTGGGGGCCCAGTATGATATATTATCTGGGGGCCCAAAATCACCAGCCAAGGGCATTAGGCCAGAATGAGGTATTTACTGGTCCCAGCCAAGGGCATTAGGCCAGAATGAGGTGCTTACTGGTCCCAGCCAAGGGCATTAGGCCAGAATAAGGTGCTTACTGGTCGAGTCCCAGCATGCAGTGCCCTTGAGCAAGGTGTCTGACCTGAATGCTGTGAGCAGGCTTCCATCTGTGTCAGCGCCAGTCTCTCTGGGACCCTCCCGATTATTGCCGTATTATTTTTATCACCCCCCCTCCGCTGTCCAGGCCTCGATTTGTTCCCGTCCCCCAGCCGATTCCGCTCCGTCCCCGTCCTCGCCGCCCCTCCCCGTATCTCGCGGATCTATCTGCCTGCGTGACTCACCCTCGATTCTCACAGCCCACATCTGGATTTCGTAAAGATCCGTTAAAATTCCTGACATGACTGCGTTACTGCTCTTGGCGTCATCCTGGGTCCCTCTGCAGCTGCGTCGTGTCACAAACATCCATGAGTCCTCCGGGGCTCCAGGAAAAACAAGACGAGTTTAACCAAACAGCCCTAAACAGCCCCCCCACCACCACCCCAGTTTGCCATTGTTTGTACCAGTATGTAGGTCACAAGGCTGCATCACGTCCTGTAAAACATGAACATACACAACACAGGAACTTGTAAAATGTTGTCACTGTTGTGGACACTTCAGTCTGCCATTAAAGAAGCAGGTCAGTCAGCTTTATATCAAAGTGCATTCAATTCACATTCCAAACCTGTTGTACACAATCATGCTTTTGACATGAAAGTCAAAAATATTTTGTTTATTTAAAGTGTATTCTCATGTCTCTGTTTTTTTTCTGGGCGGGGGAGGTGAATGATTGAAACTGTGGGTGTTGAGTTCAGGGAGTCTAAAAACGACTTCGGTCCATTTGAGAGAAAACGCCAGCAAGAATTCAAGGCATTTTTATTTTTAATTTTCTGGCCAAATGTGAAGCAAAAAATATATTGCATTCTGAAGTTCAGCTTTAGCAGAGCTTAGAACACATACATATATATATATAACCACGCAAACATACATACCATTTATATTTGTACGCTCATATATAGCCCACTTTTACAGCCTGTCTCTTTCCATTTAAGGGTAAGAATAAGGGCCCTTATATTAGTGTGGCCAACTGAAATACCACTTAACAAATGTATACTGTAAAAATAACGCTTAAAAACTCCCAAAGTCTCAAGTATGCCAGACTGTTTGTTTCGGCAACAAATGAGTCAAGCCTGGAAGGAGTGCCTTCATTCTTTCTGTCAAACTGCGTCCAGGTGTCTCTGATCTCCTCTTGAAGCTGGTTTGCAAGAGAAGCAGAATAATGTGTGTAAATTATAGTCTAATTCAGGTAAGGAGCCCAAGGAGATGTATTAAGGTCAAAATTTAAAGTCAATATCTGTAATGGCCTGTTATTAAGTGTTGTTAAATTCCTAATTCATTAAGACATCACCTTTTAGCGATTAGTTGTCAGGAGAAACGGCAAAACACCGCTAAGAAATCAGCAGCTTGAACGCGTTAGAGCCACATTGCGCACTCTGAAATTCCTGTACTGACGCAGTTTGGGAATTTGAGGACGCCCCTACGCCTTTGAGAATGCGAGGGGCTGACTCTCAGTCGCGTGCGCGCGGTGCTGCGCGCTGTGCTTAACGACCCCGTAACGATGTCAGTAATGACTGTTTTGTGCTGTCTAAATACCCCATAACAAAGGAAGGAGATTTCACTGCAGATGCTATTAATGTCAATCATTCCAACCCCCCCCCACCCTCGTTGGAATGATTGACATTGTCTTGGGTCGGAATAACACAGCGTTAAGCATGCGCCCTCTCTCAGGACCTGTGGCGTCTCGGAGAGAAGCAGCGCGGCCTGACCTCTGTGCTGCAGGGTCGCCGCTGCGTGTCTGAAATGCGACCCCGCCCTCGCAGTCACGGGACTCTTGGAATTCCACTGAAAGGCTTCGCGAATGACACATTCCCGTGGCGGGGCCCTTTCCCATTTACACAAGGAAACCTCCCAGTACTGCTTCTTAGGCCTCGCATAGGGAGCGCGCTAGGAACGCGCCGGCGAGTCTACGACGCGCGGCTCCTCTCTCCGCCGCCGCTGCCTCGGACCCCCGAGCGCAGGAGTCACGATGCATTAATAATCCGAAGGAATGCTGTTTTGAAAGTGTGGCGTAACACATGTTGCATTCGTTATGTGTATATTTAAACCGTTATCCTTGGGTCTAGACATTACCGTTATTTATATTTACGCACATGCGTCTTGAAAATGATCCGTATGGCAGGCATGGTCTTTAAAGTAAGCGACGAGAGTTAAAATACGGCCTCCGAGGTAATCCGAGCTAAAGAATGCAATTTTGGGATGCTAGTCAGCTATTCCTTAGTCTTCTCAGAGCCAGAGAGACGGTCCCCAGAGACAATGAACGGCTGGCCTGCTAAATGTTTGCTGCACAAATAATGAGGCATCGTGCTATACTTTTATCTTCAAAGGTCTAACTAAATCGGGAGGTCGAGAAGAAGCGAGCACAGTCCTCAGATAATACCTGCTGTTCTAATCTAATGTATTTTGTGATTCGTGTTATGAATCAGTCAGCGCTCCTGTGCAAAGCAAAAGTAACCGAAACTTACACCTGACCTTAGTTTATGCTACATTTAACGACGATGGCTGCACGACTCCAGATATTTCCTCTAGTTAATGATTTGCCTCTCAAAGTGTTGTTGAGGAGTTTAGACCTACTCCATGCAGGGATACGGTGGTATTTTTGGGTTGGTGGGGATCTACAGGTCATGCTGGAGCATTTCATTGAGGTTTGAATGTGCCTTCAGCTATTCTGACAGAAAATAGCTTGTTAGGGAGCTCAGGATTTCGTCAATGATGGACAGTCCTTCAAGTCCCGGTACAGCAAAGTATTCCAATGACACCTCTGTGCTTCACTGGTGGAATGAGGTTCTTGCTTTCAAATGCAACGTTTGGTGCAATGTCTGCCCCAGAGCATCGTTAAAGGACATTTAAAGTTCAAGCCTGAGACAAGCATTCCTGTCCTGCCTGGTTAGTCATGGTGTCAGCCTTGCCACCCTCCCTTCTGTCCATTTTCTTCATGTTTGTTTTCTGAAGGTTGAATCATGAGCTTCAGCTGAAGCAAGGGCAACCAACAGGTTCCTGGACATTTTCTAAATGTCCTGACTTTAAATGCGTGAGTAGAAGGGCCACACCAGAGCATGTTGTTTTGGTCAGATGCTAAAATACTACGGAGAGCTTGTAGGCCTTTTCCGTGTCGACACATATCAGCAGCAGGTCTTCAGGAATTTGTTTATGCTCTGAAATCTCCGCTCTAGCAATTTTACTCCAGTGGTAAAGGCTGAAGGTAGTATTAATCAGCACGGACCCGCATGCAGCCCGACTGCTTATCGAGGAATTCAAACAGGCTCCCCGCTTGCATGGCGGCGGTGGTTAGTTAAACATTGCTTGAATGGAAAGCAGACACATGAAACGAACACGGGAAGCACCAAACGGCAGCGGCGGACCCTCCCCCCCGCCACACTACAGCCTATGGAACGCTGGCTGCACATGGACGGATACTGCTGATCCGCTGCTGGCTTTCTGTTTAGGCGAGATTGACTCTGGATGATTTGTTGAGGGAAAGTACAAATTATCAATTTATGGCCACCAGTTGTTTTTTTTATTTTACTTTTTTTTTATTTGGACTTCACCAAAGTGGTTGGCTTAACGACTGCTTGGGTGTAATTTTAAGCGAGAGATGTGCAAATAGCATCAGGACGTAAAGGCCGTAATTCCCCAAAATGGGAGGGTCGCACAGGGAGGGGCGGCCGGGGACCCAGGCGGCGGTGTCGTGATGGTATTTGCCGGCATTGTGACGAGTTCTGGACACGTTGTTTTTCAGAGAGAATCAAGCAGCCTTTTCAGTGCTAAAAAGAGAGGGCATTCCACACATAGCTGTGGGATCACTCTCATAATCAGAGCTTGTACAGACAGTTCAAAAAATGTTGTTGGTATGATGCCATGTTTTTTTTTTTCCCTGAACCCAACTGCGCCACGTGTCCAGCCTCGAACTCCAGTGAGGAGTGGACAACGATACGATTCTTAGCATATTCTTAGCCTCCAGTTGCTAAGACGAGTGAAAAAACATTACTTGTTTACCAATATTTAAACATATATCTATCTTTCAACCACCTGTCCTATTCAGGGTCAAAGAGCCTGTCCCAGGCAGCCAGGGTGCATCTGAACGGGGTGCCAGGCTGTCGCAGGGCAATTTAGAAACACCATTTATCCATACAGGGATCTGAACCCCCAACTCTGGCTGTGTGAATCCACTGTGCCACCCCTAATATTGCTAAAGGTACGGAAAAACTACAGCCACATGCATCCTTTGGTGGGAAGCAGTCAGACAGTCCTGGGAGGAACTGGGTTCTAAGGGCCTTGCTCAGGGGCGCAGCAGTGAAATGACTCTGCGGGATTGGAACCAACTCCCTACCAATCACAGGCACCATCGCCCAGTCACTTCACTTTGATTAATCACTCCGGATAAAAACGAAAGTCAAAACATTCACTTTCAATATATATTTATTTATAGTTTTTTTGTTGCATTACTGAAATGTTTCTGGTATTTACGCGAAGCTCCTGCATTTTAGCAGCCCACAGCGCTGTCCGAGTATGAGAATGTAACATGGAGTAAGGTCAGGGGTCACCCTGCGCTCGGTTATTAAGTTAATCAAAATGCAGATTTTTGGCATCGTCGTGTTTATGGCACATAATACTTACACAAGACAATTATCCATATAAAATATATTATGTCATCTCAGGTGAAAACAGACACTTCTGTAAACAAGACCCGAAAAAAAAAAATTACAAACATAAGCAAGACAAAAGTGTTCTTCCCCCACAATGCACTAGCCAGCAGATGCAGAGAAAGGGGAAATATACTTTTTAAAAAAGCAGACAGGAAACCAGCATACAGGAAGCCATGCTGTCAAAAGAGAACTTTCGAAATTTTCAGTCCCTTCCAGTTGAAAGAGGCCAATAGCAATGCGACATCCCTCCTAGGGGCGAGCGACGTCCCTCCTAGGGGCGAGCGACGTCCCTCCTAGGGGCGAGCGACGTCCCTCCTAGGGGCGAGCGACTGGCGCTCAGGAGTGACTTTCACAGAAAGTGGCCGCAGCTGACAAATCTCAGCGTGGTCGTTTCTCTGAACAACCCCCCCCCCCCACACACACACACACACACACACACACTCGTGCCAGACGTGTGAGGCACCCAGTCACATTTTCACCAAAACAAATCAGAACGTGTCTCAAAGTCACTAAATGCAAGAGCTAAAGGTTGTGGACAGAGCCGGTCTCTGCGGGAAATAAATAGACACAGAATGGGAGTGAGTTGCTTACCATTTTAAGGGGTGAGATGGGGGGGGGGGGGGGCAGGCCACAGATAGCCTTTTTCCTTGCACCAGCGGCATTCCCCAGGGAAGGAATGCGGAAAGACTGGCATGTCGGGCAGCAACCTCCCTGACACCGAGTGATAAGCACCCCTAAAGAGGCGTTGGAGAAATCGGATACCGTGAAAGGCCTGCACTCCTCTCCCAGAGTGAGATCTTGACGGTATCTTAAAACAATAAATAGATTAGCCTATTCGCACCAATCCTCCCCTGATCTCAAACATCACAACTTTATAACATTTTTGTAGCTCTGCTACATTCGTTGACAGAAACATGAGGGAGGATCCAGTATTCGTGTCCTGTTTGCTACCTTCCCTCTTTTCCCGCCAAAACACTGACCTTTCCCCTTCCAATGCCCTATCCCAACAAATCCTGCTCTGCGATTGGCTGAAGGTGAGTAAGGCGGGAGCAGGGCAATAGGAGACCATATTTAACAAAATAAAAGTCATGGAACGTCAATGGTTAATCGGTTAATTGAATCCCTATAAATCAAATCACTGGTCTGTCGATCTCGGTGGGGACTCGGGTTTTTAAAGGACATGGGAGCAAAGTGTTTGGAAGGATGGTGAACGACTATTTGATGATGGGAGGGGTATTTCAGTCACATATCTGGACATGGGGGGGGGAGTTCCTAAAAAAAACATCAGAACTTCTTCCCAGATACAAGGGAAATAATACATCAGGAAGGATGTGAAGAAAAAAAAAAGAAAATAATCTCTGTATTCCGTTCTCTCTTTAAGACCAAAACCAACATCACGCCTCACACACACCCTAAGCAGCAGCATAAATATATATAAACACAACACAAGTGTGTGTGACACACGCATACAGGCTCACACACTCCCTCACTGTCCAATAGCTGCCATTTGCAAGTGAAATACTGTACAAGTACCTAAAGGATTCACAGCATCTCTTGCACAAGGCAGGTCTTTATTAAAAAGGCTGTCTGTCCTTCTGTCACGGCAGGGTGATGCTCAGAGAGCCCAGCTCCCTTCGCGCTCCTGCGTGCCAGTCCGTAGTCCGCCATTCCGGGTCGTGCTACGCCGAAGCGCGTTCCTCTCCCAGCGGGGTGCAGGCCTGCTGTGGCCACATCCATTCTGTCTCTAAAGCCATTTGTTCAGGCAGAATCGTCTTTGCATTGCATAGAGTCAGATTGGGTGGAGAAGTTTGGGGGGGGGGGGGGTGTCTTTCCAGGGGTGTCACTGTCAGAATCTTCATATAAAAATCTCCACCGCTCCCCGTCCCAAGATGCTCTGATTCACGAACGCCATGCCAGGTGCCCGCTCAGGTTCGGGGTTTTCTGGACCAGGAAGGAAGACAAAAGCCCAGTTAGCGGAGGAGAGGATGTGTGAGGGCCAGTCATGGCACCTAGACCCCCGGCCGGCCAAAAAGGACGCACGAGTCACCACTCACCGGCTGCGAGGGCGGCACCGGACTCTGTGCGGGTGGGTGGCTCGTCTGTAACCGGAGACTCGGGCGGGAGATCGTCAGCCTGAGTGGCGCAGTCGCGGCTGGCAGGGCGGGGCGGGGTGGCCAGACAGGAAGACGTGGCAGCTGTCTGGTCATCCGAGAGGCTCTTCCCTGCCGCAAAGAGAAGAGGAAGAACACGGTTATGTGCCGTCTGCCAGCACACGGCTGTTTCCCTGCCGACGCACACATACAAAAATATGCGCAATTATATCAGCATAAGAGTCACTGCGGTGCCAAGAGGAAATAGCGAACATTTCGAGAAGCCGCCCCCTCCCAGGACGGGAAGATACAGCTCATGCAACAGACCGTGCAGTGAATTTGGGGATGCTTACTATGTCACTCTATTGTTTTTTATGTGGTATTTTAGTCTATTGTTGCTTTTATCTAGTATTTCACTGTAATGTATGTTGTAAATTTCACTAAAATATTCTAAGCAATATTTCACTCTATTGTTATTTACTTTTATTACTAAACACTTTCTGAGTTTATTCTTTCTTGGTTTGCAGCTAACCATGTTTCCGGAAACCGAGTGCCGAAGCTCACCTTTCGCTGGGCCGTCACTGGCGGCCGACGGGACGAGGCCGGCGATGGAGGGCACGGAGCGGGCGGGCCGCATGCCCGGGTCACGGCGCGATCGCTGCTGGAGCACGTTGATGACAGCGTCCTTCTCCAGGATGTGTGCATAGAGAGCGCGGATTCTGCGACAGGAGGGGGAAACCGGCGTTAACGAGCGGCCTTCCCACAATGCCCGGCGCTTGTAAGGGCGACCCACGGGCAGGGAGCAGCCAATCGCGCAGCGTACCGGTTCTCCATTTCCCTGATGCGGTGATTGGCCGCTGGCAGGTCCTCATTGAAGCTGCTATTAGGCGAGTGGCGGGGCGAGTGGTTGATGATGGTCGTGTCCCTGCAAGGGTAGGATGTGTCAGAAATCGCCAGAGACGCCAATTTACAGGGACCCCTCCCCCGCAGGTGACGTGCATCTGCACCATGGCTCACCTCTGCGCAGCCGCAGTCGCAGCGGCATCCATGGCGAACTGCCGCATAGTGCTCTCCTCTAGGTACTTCTGCTCCCACTTGGTCATGTCGGCCTCCAGTGCCAGGATCCGCTCCTCCTTCTCACGCAGCCGCTCCTCCAGATAGGAGGCGCTGAGCTCTGATGCGGTGCTGCCAGCTTGTCCCTGGGACTGCCGCTGCATGGGAGGGGGGGGGCACACGGATGGGTTCAGTACCCCCCCGGGGATAAACGGCATGGGAAAGCCCACTCCGCCGGACGCCCACTCACCTGCTGCCCGCGGAGCGCCTTCAGCTCCTGTTCCAGCCGTGTGCGCAGCTTGCGCTCCAGCGTCTCGCGCTTCTCGCAGGCGGCCTGCAGCTGCGCCAGCGCATGCTGCAGCCGCTCCACCTTCTCCACGTAGGCACACTTGCGCCGCAGCTCTTCCTCCAGCCGCCGTCCACGGGCCTGTGCCGAGCCCAGTGCCTGCTCCAGGGCCTCGGCCAGCCGTCGCTGCTCCTCTTCGGAGCCCCGCAACCGCTGCACCTCCCGCTCCAGCCGCTCACGCTCCCTGCGCTGCTCCTCATCTGTAATTGGGGGGGGGGGCTGCCGGTTAGTGTGCCTCGTGGACCTCAGATGCAGGTCAAAGGCCTGCCAGTCTGTTTTCAACCTACCCAAACACTGTTCACTAATTATTATTTACTAACTATTAAGTGAAGTTGTTCCCTGTATAACTGAACCAGTCACCCCCCCCCCTCCATACTCAAGTCTAAAAAGCACTGGAAATTCAGCATAGCATCAGAGCTTTGAAGCACTCTTGCATAAGGGGGTTGCTGTGTGTGAGTGTGAGAGTGGAGGGGGAGGCAGCGTGGTGGGGGGGGGGCACATTCCTGAGGCTCTCCTCTCTCAGTGCATACGGCCCTCCTGCCTTCCTGCTCTTAAGTCCGAGAATTTGAACAAAGGCTGGAGGGCCTGATTTACACAAGACTGTCTGGAATGTGAAGGGGGTGGGGGGGGGGGGGGGGGAGGGCTGAAATGCACACACACACACACACACTCTCTCTCTCTCTCTCTCTCTCTCTCTCACACACGCAGCTCTGAGTGTGTTTCACAAACATTGATGTTCATTTTATTTACTAATTAAAAGTTAATGATTTACCCCTTTCCAAGATATATTACAATATAAGCAGGATTCATAATTTGATAAAAATGATGTTCGCTCGCACACTCATTCACACATTCCAGCTCCGCTTGGTTCACACGCCAGGCTCTGGGCCCTATGTGAGTAAGTCTGGACCTGCCGTCTCACGCATGAACCAACGGATAACAAGGAAATTCCATCAGCCTCCCTCATGTAAATTGTCTACTATTTCTCTACCAAATTTCCCTAAGCTGCCCAAAACACTTACTTCCAAATGTCCTAATAACCCCAAATACCTCACATTCATATATATTCTTCTAATGTCACACTGGCTAATTCTCGGAACAATATTTAGAGTTTTTCACTCATTAAGTGCTGATTACCCAACTGCCCTGCATTCCTAGCCCTTCCAGAGAATGTGCACTTCCTCCCAACCACATACACAACCAAACATGCTTTTCCCTTCCTGTCAGAGCGAAAGAATGCCTTGCTGGCCCGAGAGTGAGGAAACACGAAAAAAACAGCATCTATGCCGTTTTGGCATGAGCAGAGCACGGTGAAAAGCTCAGGCCATCGCTCTAATCCATCGTCACAAAGTCACAAAAACGTTGAAGTCCGTTCGGCCAGAAGTGTCACTTACATAAACAAGTGTAAACGACTAAAGTTTCGGTCTTTTTAAGTTAAATTCAATCTAGTCCCCAATGGGGGGGGGGGGCTGCGAGTCAGAGAGGGATCCCCGTAGCCCACCTGGGGGGGGCGGCGAAGCAGGAGGGAGGCCTCGGCACTTCACAGAAGAGCCCGATTACCTGAGGAATCCCAACAATGCAGCCCCCATCTCCTGCTAGTGTGTGTAAAACCACAAGTGCAGCTCACACTCAGGAAACGTGGGGGTGTGAGTGAGCTGGACGTGGCAGCACATAACTACTACCCCCCCCCACCCCCCCCACAGACTTACACCCATTACCCCCATCAAAGTGTTGCGCAGCCACAAAGTAACTATTAGGCCCATAAAGAATGGGTTCGCAGGTAATGCTCCGCATAGCGCAACAGCGAGCAGATCCACTGAGCTCCGGGCGCAGTGCAAATCGCCGGGGGTGAGAAACGCCACATGCGAAAGCAATTGAGAAAGACTTTAAAATTTAGTTTAAAAGAGAGTCAGGAGGAACGCTGAGACCGGGGCGCACATCCAGAAGCACTCTGCACTTTTGTTTGGTTTCTGATTTCTCAGTCATTTTCAGAAGGAAATTCCACAACCCCCCCCCCCCCCCCCCCCCCCAAGTCTTCCTCCTTGCATTCCTCTAAAGCTTTTTACACACCCGTGATTGGCCGCATACACTATTAAACTGTTACTTTTGGCATAGCCAGGCAAAACTGCGAATTCCCTGCGCCGTGGCCCTGCCAAGATCCCGGCACCGTTTGGGAGCAGAGCAGCACCTCCAGCAAACTTTCCCAGGCATCTCAGCAAATCAGAAACAGCAGCTCAGGGGAATTACACCTCAGCATATAAAATTAAAAACACCCCCCCCCCCCTTCTGAGGATCCAAACAAAACTTTCTAGCTCTTAAAGATGCTTCTCACCCCAACTGCAGGCGATGAATCAGCCACTTGAGTCAATCTCGCTACTCGTAATGACAAACAAGGCCTGAGAGACGTACGTGTTTCCTCATGCCAAAGGTATGCGGTTTTATAACAGAAACAATTTAATGCATAGACCAGAAATCTACCCAAGGCTACCTGTGTGTCACGTGGAAGACCTGCTAAGATATCTCTACTCACTCTGCTCTAAGAGTTTGGCCATGGCGTGCTGGTTTTGATCGGCAGATTCAACTTCCTTCGACGCTTGTCTGCTTGCTGTTTCCAGACGGTCTGATTCAAGAAATGAAAACGGTCAATATTAACAGCGGCACATGAGTCCCAAGACTGCCAGTCGGTGATATTTTACGCCTTCTGAAGGCGAGCACCGTAAGTGGTGCTCATGCTGGAGAAGGTACCCACCTCGCAGGTCTCGGTTGAAGTCATGCAGCCTCTTGATCTCGGCCTCCAGCTTGTTCCGCATGGTCTTCTCGAGGGCTTCCCGCTTGGAGCAGCCCATCATGAGGGCCTCATATGCCTCAGATATCCTCTGGATCTCCAACTCCAGCTGAATAAGACAAAACAAAGCGTACGGTTGGTCATGGTAACCAAAGTGTCAAATACCCAAAGTGCATCCTGGGAATGTTTTTGTGCTAAAGAAATGAAAGACGGATCCCATGTCGTAACAAACTCCTTCTTGGCTTATGAGTCTTAAAGCAAATCACCCCCAGTCCCCCCCCCCCCCCCCTTGGACGTGGACGTGAATCAACATTCCTGGGAGGAAAGGCAATAACTCCAGGTGTTGGCGGATTCACACTCCCCCCCCCTCCCCGGAGCAGGCTGAGAGCCAGCAAAGAGAGCCGGTGATGGGTGATGGTGACACACAAGAGTAGAAAACATTCCACATTCATCTGCCGAGGGCAGTCAGCTTGGGCCTCTATGATCGTCACCCTGTGTGTAGGAGCAGCGGGGTGATGCAGAGGCACCTCTGGCCACATTCGAAAATAAAACTTGCTAGTCATTGTGTATTGAAAAGCATTGTTAAAGTTTTTCAAATTGCCAAACAGATGGTGACCCAGTCTGTCTCTGCATGGTTCCTTGTTACCCAAGGAGACAGAAGATCAAAGGACAGAAGCCGCAAAGCGATGACCGGAGTGAAAGTGAAAAGGATGTTATGATGCTATAGCTGCTCTGTAAAGTTATTGATTTGCGTTGGACTCCCAGCTCAAGTCTCCACCACGTGACAAAACTTGACTTTTAAACATGAGGAAACTGGATCACAAGCCTCTGACCATAGTACCCAGAGTAACCTAATATCTCAGACAAGAATGTACCTCTACGATAGGAAGAGGCCATTATAAACTGGACAGACCAGCTTCATCGTGCTGCCTTCACTCATGGCAGTGAAGCTAATACGTTTGGCATGTGGCATCTCCAAATCCACACCCTTCATATAAATCATCAAAAAAGTCCCGTAAAACCCCAGCAGAAGTTCTGTACTGCATCTTTCTGCTCATTGCTAGGCCTTCCTTAGGTCCTACACATCAGAGCTCATCTGGAGTCGTGCCGTGCTTCGAGGGGGGGGGGGGCTGTCCGAGGAGTCCCGCTCACCTTCTGAATCCTGGAAGCCTTCTCGTTGTAGCCTTCCAGTTCCCCCTTCAGCCGCTCATTCTCGGCCACCAGCGCCTCCATCTGGACGATGTGGTCGCCGTTCAGAGACCCGCGGGCGACGGGCTCCATGCCAACATGGCGGCCTGCCTGCTGCACCTGCATGTACCTATAGGGGAAACAAAAATACGGGCAGCTGCATTAATTGCATTCCATCTCCACGCCTCAGCCGCCCCACGCCCTCCCCACTGCTGACATCCATATTTGTCAGCCAGTGCGAGATAACACGTGTCACGTGAACTTCCTCAAACCCACACTATTGTTCCCGCACTATCAAAGAATGCCTGATATCTGCTTTTCAAAGCCACTCGTGTCAATATCAAACACGGGGCCGCGGACCATGATGCTCTGGGGCATGTGTACAGAATGCAATGATTACAACGTCAAGGAATGTGAGCCGTGAAAGGCTGTTTATGAAAGTGCGAGGGTGACCGAGCGCGAAAGCCTGGAAGGGAACGTCACGTAGAACGCAGACAGACACTCTACCTGTAGTGCTGGGAGCTCAGCGGGTGCGAGTCCGGGCAGTGTTGCCCTCGCTCCCTGGGAAAGCCGAGCACGTATCCCAAAGACTGTGCGGGGTACTCCGGAGGTGGGCCGGGCTGGTGAGGAGCGTGGCTGGGATGGGGGAGGTGGTGTCCGGGCAGCTGGGGATAGCTGTGAGAGGAGCTCATGGCCACGTTAGCCCGGCTGCCGTTCCGCTCCAGGGAGAGCTGAAGGAGGCGCTCGCTGAGGGAGCGCACGTGGCCCCTCTTCAGCTCCTGCAGACCATCGTCCTGGAGGTTCCTGCCCGACAGCGGCATGACGGCTTGCTGGAGGCCCATCTGGCCGTGCTGGGAGGCCAGGTACTGGGAGTGGGCCTTGGCCTCCTCGTAGGTGGGTAGCTCCTCGCTGTGGAGCTGGTACAGCTGGCAGCCGCTCTCCGAATGATGACAGTCACCCTGGTGCTCCTGCCCCTGCGGTTCCTGACGCACGGACAGCTGGAGGAACTGGGGGCCCTCCTCCAGGGAGAGGCTCTCCAGTGAGGACCGAGCACTCCCTGCCCCACGCAGTGCCTGCTGCTGGATGGCGAGCAGCGTGCGGGTGTCCGTAGGATTCCCGTAGCGCAGCTGCTCCTGGATCAGGCGGTGCAGGACCGTGCTGGTCGAGTCCTCGGCTGTTCTCATCTCACTCGTGATTGAAGTCGACAAATTACAGATATAGTTCCGGGATCAGTAGGAATCTGGCATGGGAGAAGGTCAGGACAGACATGACTGTCAGCAACCGGTAGTGAACACTCAAAATTCATCCTGATCTTATTTGTGTCCTCGCAACCGCATATTTCACAAATCATAATTGGTTAAACCAAATTCGGTAAACCAACGTCATATTTCTAGCCAGTCCAGTAACATTAAATATACGAAGACATTACTTTTCAAGACTTATATACTGCCAGTTTTATCTTAGTTTACAATTCACAAGTCCACCCGCAAAAAATTAAAAATAAACGCAGTAGCGTAAACAAATGCACAAGGTTGCCCGTTTCCTGCAGCGCCATGCACGGATAGACACACGGCCAGCGGACCGTGAAGCCCCCCGTGTCCAATGCGGAGCGGCCCCACGGAATCCCTCTGCGGCCGCATACCGCACGGCTCTCCCCGGGCCATCATTCCCGGACTCCCGGACAGGCAGCCCTAGCAACGGCACGTTTGCCCCAAAATACCAAAGGAACGGTCCCCAGGAGGCAGTGAAAGGCTGGTTATCCGCTCGGTGTAGCGTGAATACGCGCAGAGCACACCTCCGACAATCAGCAGCGATTTCTATGTATAAATATATTCATATATATATACCTTTTACATTTGAAACACTATTGTTTATACGCAGAACATGTAATAATATTATATATGGACTCAATGTGGTAAACGGAAAAACTTGTTTGGATAAGTTACAGACATACCTTATACTCTGTGTGTGTGTCTGTGTAACTTGTCCAAACAGTAACATTTTTTATCGGTTACCACACTGGGTCCGTATCTCGACTTTGGGTTTTGCAACAGCCAGCACCAGCAATACCACAGGAAACGAAGTAATACTGATGTTAGGTAACAATACAGGCAAAATGTTTTACTGCTGGTCTTCATGCCAAAGAGTGAAATAAAGGTAGTTAACATGGAACGTTCGCATAATGAAACGCGTCCCCATTTGTTGTTGTTTTGCGCAAATCGACAAATGTAGTTTAAAACATTGTAATTGTTTAGACGAGAGTCATTTCATAATATGGAGTAGAATATAATGCGTTTTAATAATATATAACCATACGAAAACGTTATTCTTGCTACCAAAAACATATAATCTTTTTTATTAAAAAAAAAAAAAAAAATAAATGAAACGATTAAACGAAAAGCTTACCAATTCAAACGTTCATGACAGATCCGGAGGTCAAGGTCCGTAAATATTAAATTTCCGTATCATCCGAAATAATCCACAGAGTACGTATGTATCGGTGAGGCTCCTGGCCTTGCGCTGCTGACGGTGCCGCGGTTCAGACTGAGCCGCACGTCCAACCCGCCGCGCTAATAAATAACTGCGATCTGATTGTGCGCCGGGCCCGGAATGTGCGGAATGCCAGCGCTCCGGGCTCCTGGGGGATCAAACGCCGCCACTGCCTCGGCCGCACTGCCGCTCTCTCCCCGCTAGGCGGCGCCAGCGCGCTCTTCACGTTCCGTATCGCTAATCGCCAATTGAGTTATCAAATTCTCCGCAGCTTCAGTCGTAAAATTCTGAATCCTGGTTTCATGTGATTAAACATGTCATGTTCATTAGTCAGATACATTCATAAACGTTTTCATACAGTTTTCAAGCCACAACGGTGTAAGTTTATATAAATAACAGCAGGCTTTTAACTCATAATTTTTTTTTATTTGAACAACGCAGCAGGTGGAACTGAGCCAATGAGAAGGACTCCCTATTTCGTGAATCCTTTCATGAATGAATTGTTCTTTTCCTCAAGACAAAAGTGGTTGGATATTAACAATAACAATCCCCACATATTGGAAAGGGAGCTGTGTTATGCATTCATTGTGCTATTGATTCAAATCCCTTTTGTGACATGCAGAACACAGGTCTCGCTCCCCAGCTGTGTCTCATAAAGGCCTTTGTTGGATCCCCAGGGTACGCCGGCATGAAACTTGGGTTTTCAAGGCCGGGGGGAAGGCGCTGGGGGGTTCGGGGGGGCAGGGAACCATGCTGTGGGCCAGTGTCCCTGTCTGCTGGGGTGCGTGGGGCTGGCCCTCTGCTCAAAAGTCAGGCGACAGCAGGTGCTGTAATATGGGCATCGGGGGCTAGTGGGTCCCGGGTGGCGTGTTAGATACGAGGCTGTGAAACTTGCTCGGCGCCCAGATGACATGCTCAGTGGAGGGGGGGGGGGCCCCGGCCCGGGGTTGCCTGTGTGTGTGTGTGTGTGTGGGGGGGGGGGGGTGTTTGAGGTGAGTGTGAGACAGATCGCTTCCCAGCTGTCCCAGGAAAGTTATCCCTGCCTTAATCGCAGCTCTGAGAGATGCATTGTTCTCTAAACACCAGGCAATAACTGAACAAGTTTCACCATCTGCCTCCCCCCCCCCCCCCCCCCCCCCCCCGCCCCCCACGGGCCTCACTAGCACATTCCAAACATGCACCTTTCAGCTCTCTCCACAGAGCGGACGTAGGATCAGCAGAAGGACACTCGCTGTTGCCATCGGCCTGACGATTCTGCGCTAACACAGAAAGTCATTCTCCCTGCTGGTTTAGCCGAAGGGAAAAAATGACCTCATGGGTTTGGAGAGAAGACCTTACGCTGTAAATAAAGTTTTGAATCTAATTTTAGAAGCATAAGTTTATAGGGATCTGCACCAAAGATTAGTCAGAATCACTCTCAGCTCAAAGAAGCATTACTGTAGCAATAATAAACATACCGATACAATTACTTTCTTGTTTTTTAATTGTATGGCCTCCAGTATGTAAAAGCATTCCTGTTGTTTTAAGGGGTTAATTCAGCACAACGCTTAAATTCCTCACTAATGGTGAGGAATCATAGCTGCCATTCTTTTGGCTTTCAGAATCTCTGTAGGGGTTCCATGTATAATACAGTATGTGCTACTGGTTGTATAAATGGGTCCATTTGCTTCTAATATCACTGAAAGACACATCCCGATAAACCCTGTCCTGCTGTACGTAGATAAAGCCGCCCGAGTGGCTCGGAACAGGCTCACTGGGGATGATCCCGTGCGCTCACAGAGGACGCGGGATCCAGCAGAGATCAGCCGTTACAGACACACATTCCTGCCGCATCATTTGCATGTCAGTTACGGAGCTGTAATCTCCAGCCTCTGGCTGCTTTCCCAGATATGGCAAAAAGGACGCTTAAATTGCGCAAAAAAAACACAAACTGCCATCTTCACCTTATACTCAGGAAATGTAGGTGCTTATAAAAATAATAAAATAATAATAATAATAACCAAAACATTTTGGGTAAGCACCATACAAAGTTTTCACAGGAATTTCACACATTACCAGCTACTCAAATTCGTGACACAAAAAATAGGAACATGTGACATTTAAGTTACAGAAAAAATGTTGCTGTGATGTCAGTTTGCGCCGCCAGCTCACCTGGACTGAAATGACCGCGCTGGGGAAAGTCTGTCATTCCACTCTATTGCAGGGCCAGCTCCTTCTCCAAGGCGATCTTCATAACTCTGTGTGTGTGTGTGTGTGTGTGTGTGTGAGTGTGTGTGTGTGTGTGTGTAGAGGAGAGTGGGGGCTGGGGGGTTGGGGGGGATGGTCCAGTGAGATCTATAGCAGGAAGCCCAGAGCTGTGGATCTGTTGCCTTTGTTTTCCAGAGAAAGAGGAAATTGCCGCATTCCTGGAATTAGCACGTCAATGGCAGCCGACTGAGGCTCCATGCTTTTCATAACCATAGGGGTGGGGGGTGGAATTCTCCCTTCCTGACTGAGCCTTCCCAAGGAACAAAGATCGGCGTGTTCAGCGGCATGTACACACTCTGCACTTGGACGCCACTGCCAACCTTAACCATAGGAATTTTGCAGCCGTGGTCTCACTCCTAAGATTAATGTTACTCCACTTTGCCCGAACAGCATGATATATTTAAACACTGCTGCTTCACAAACAAATTATCCCGGTGGATTAAAATATTAACTGAACAATTTATTGCCTGATTTATTCTTTGCTCGACCTTCTTTACTTGGAATCCTCAGACCTTCATAATAATTTACAACGTAATTACATAAATAACTTGTCATCAGAGACCATCAGGCCAAAACCATGACATTTCTGTACCTTATTTACGGAGTACTTAAGTGCGTTTCTGGCATTTTTACGGTTGTACCTAAATAGGGCGTAAGCCCTCTTAAAGGCAGTTAACGTGGAGGTTAGCATTTGCAGAAGAGAATGTCAAACAAAGATTGCAATCTTTGTTTGCCGGGCGTGTGTGAGGGCCACTGCACCATGAAGGCTGATCTCTACAAACAGCCCCGAACAAACAGCATTACGCCACAAAAGCAAATTTTGTCTTGTGCCACTAATGACACAACAGCAATCGGCTCTCGCTGGCGGGAACAGAAATGCAAATAAGAAAACAAGCGATTTTCAAATGAAATGGAATTATGCATTAAAGATCTACCATGTGGATTTGCACGCATTTAAGTTTCCCTCTGATATTTATCAGTGTTAGAATTTGAAGATCAGTGGTCATTGTTGACACACCACAGCACACAGCGCACAACGACGAAATGCGTCCTCTGCATTTAACCCAAATGTGCCGATGTGACATAGCAGGGGGCAGCTAATTCAGCACCCGGGGAGCAGTGCTTGGGGGCGGTACCTTGCTCAGGGTACCTCAGTGGCGCCTTGCTGGTCGGGGATTCAAACCAGCAATCAAAGTGCACTTCCCAAACCATGAAGCCAACACTGCCCACATGCATTAAACGACACATGCGTCATTGTCATACCGTACATACAGTAGACGTGGTGAGCATTGTGTTACCTGAGGGACACCCTGGCCCCAGGATCTGCATGTAGACTCACCTTCTATATGTTTTTTTTTTGGGGGGGGGGGGTGAAGCCACCACCCCAGAAAATATTCATCTGCAGCCTTCCCTGGTGCCCATTGCTAATGTGTCAAACCAAATTCACTTCAGGCTGAGGAGAAACCAGCCCCCACCCCCCCCCCCCAACCTGGAGCAGGTCCCTGAAAATGCTCATAAACACCAATTTGTATTCAGAATCCAACGAATACAAAACAGAGGCCTGAGCTGCATTATAAGGAATTTTGAGACATGACCAAGCAAATGTAAGAAACTGTTCTATGTGAGTGCGGGCATGTGCAGTGATCTGTGTTACCAGTGCCGAGTCTCTTGGGGGTTGTGTCAGGCTGTCAGCCTTATTCGATAGACCATGACGGGGGGGGGTTTCGTGCAGCTCACAGTCACCTGTGAGACACGTATGTTCCTCATGGGCCTGAGGCGTGCTTAAAAATTCCCCTGGAGATCCGATCCACAAAGGTCTGAGACCCTAGATGCTTCTCACAGTACAAACTCACAGGCCTCATAGTCTGAGAATGTCGGCCATGTGGAAGGTTCCAGAGATTACTCAGTATCGATGAGCCGTCGCTTGTCATCTCTCTGGTGCAGGAAGTGAGGAGCCCTGCCCCATCGAAAGGGGCTTTCCAGCGTGGCTTCAAGCCGACCGTCTGGGTGAAACACTCTGGGGCAGTGAAACCATAGTAAAACCACATTCCTGTTATTGTGGACCCAGTAAACTCCATAAGGCATTCAGTAAAAAAACATGACCTCTCCTTTCCATCAACCCCCAGCAGCAAAATGCCAGAAACGCAAAAATTCCTGATTTCCTGTTCCTCTAATGGGCCATTACACAGGCAGGCCATCAGGATCTCAGCGTGACCTCAGGCCCAGCCAAAGGTAGCTGATTACGATGATTACGATCAGCCCTGGGACAGCTGACATATGATACCCTCAGCCGCTATTGCAGAGGGCGTAAACCAGAACCACTGACACATTCAACTGGACCAGAAACGTTTCGCAAACAATGCTGACTTCATTTGCATGAAACAGACATGGTACACTTTACTTGATGGGGAGCAAATACTTAGTATTAACTCAGTTACTGTTGAAGTACAAATCATGGACAAATATAGTAGCTACTTGAGATAAAAGATGCGTCACGATTCATTAATGATGAACAAACATGAGATCAGTATTTCACTTGTGTTATTCAAGACTTGTTCCTTCAGTAGCTCACAAAGGTTTACAGAATCAACAGATATAGTGACAAATATAGTAACTGTTTGAGGTAAAACGTGCATTACGATTCATTAAGGATGAATGAACATGAGATCAGTATGTAACTTGGTTTGTGGTTAATTAATACATAAGTAATAGCATAATACTATATTATAAATGTTACCAAGGGCAGTTCAAAGCTACTTAGTTCCAACAATATAAACAATTTTCGAACAAAACTATGAAAAACATGGAACAACATGGTGTTATGATGTACTGTAGTAACATGGCTATCAAATGGTTCCTTCATGGAAGTTCTCGGATGTTTTGTCTATCCACAGAA